ATAACTGTAGTACCACTCTAGTTTTGGTATTATTATGCAAGAAGTTATTTTACGTGGACCACCATATTGTATGCTTGATCTTACACCGCAAGGTTGAAAAATCAAACTGATCGTTTTTCTTTTTTTCGATTTCTCTTTTCTATCTATCTTATATATTATTTATAGAAATAATTGCTAAAATAAAAAAACCACCACCATTACTAAGACCTTCAGTATCAAAACAAACAGCACCACCTGAATATATTAATTCAATGAAACAATGTTGGGCCGAACAACCAGAATCAAGACCATCATTTAATGATCTTGCTCAATCGATTAAATTACTTAATGGTGGAAAGTAAGTAAAACATACAAGATAATGAAGATCAAGATTAGTATAATACTTGATTGTTACCCAAAAAGAAAGTCAATAACATTTAGAAATACCTGAACTCGAGCTTTACCCAATGTAAAAATGTTTTCATAATTATTCATATAACTGTAGTAACACTCTAGTAATTAATTCAGTTTTAATATACAAATTGTTTTTGAGTAGGAGGTTTTAGGCTTTCAACGACTTCGTATCGAGGCGTATGGATATGAATGAAAATCAGAGTTGAATATGACTTCGACTTTTGTTTCCTGTCCGAATGCTTCTATAAGATATTGTTGAAACTTACAAAATGCATTAGTTTGTACAACATAGTTTAGAGAACAAAACTTTCTATATAAAGAAATTGATATGTTAACATTAAAATTTTGACAATAAATTAAATTGACTCTGTACGTTTGAATAATTATCCTTGTTTGAGAGATATATTAAGAATATCATGTTTTTTTGAATTTTTGACAATTATTTTTTAATAATAGGAAAGTAAATATTGTTGATACAATGTTTAAAATGCTTGAACAATATTCAAATAATTTGGAAGAATTAATTCGTGAACGAACAACACAACTTGAAGAAGAAAAGAAAAAAACTGACAAACTTTTATCACAAATGTTACCACCGTAAGATATTTTTTTGTTGATATAAAATTGAAAGAAAAAAAAAAACAATCATTTTTCTTTACTTCAGGAGTGTTGCTGATAGTTTGAAATCTGGTAAAGCAGTTGAAGCTGTATGGTACGAATGTGTAACAATTTATTTTTCTGATATTGTTGGATTTACGACAATATCAGCATTAAGTAGTCCAATGGAAGTTGTTGATTTATTAAACGATTTATATACAATGTTTGATTCAATTCTTGAAGATTTTGATTGTTATAAGGTATAGTATATACATATATTATCTATTAAAGATATTCTATGAAGACAAATAAATCAACTTGACAATAAAAGATTCAATAGAGTTCTATTGAATATACGTGATCTGTGATTTTTTGTGTACTCAAAAAGTGAGTACACTCTAGAATCGGTCAGTGTGTCCGTCCGTTTACACGATAACTTTTGAAAGGAGAGTCCAATCGCGATGAAATTTTCCACACAGTTCAGTCTTAACAATGTCTCGGTCGAGTTCGAAGATGAGCAGGATCCGTCAAGAAATGGCTGAGTTATCGAAAAAATTGTCATTATTGAGAAGACCATCCCTGAGGGGGGGTACAGGGATTTTTTCAAAAAAAAAAATTTTTTTCTCCGAATTATTCACAACATATATAAATCGACTCAGTTTTTAACGCTGATTCCGAATATGATATTAGTTTTGAACCAAATCGTAGCTTTCTAACAAAACATCCTCTGAAAAAGGTCTCAAAATGCAGAAAAACTGCTTGAAGAAAGCAAATTGACTAGATATGTCACAGATGATAAAAAAACAAAGTGAATATACCTGTTCACTTTTTGAAGTACACATAACACTCGGATTTAAATCCGATATTTTCGCATTTATTTACTAAATAATGTCAGATAAATTGTTTCTTTATTGAATTATGCTTGTATACAATAACAAAATAATATTTAGGTTGAAACGATCGGTGATGCATATATGGTAGTCAGCGGTCTTCCAATTCAAAACGGAACACAACATGCATCAGAGATAGCTATGATGGCATTAACACTTTTACATGCATGTGGTAAATTTAAAATTCGTCATATGCCTGGTGTACCATTACGATTACGTATTGGTCTACATTCCGGTGCGTGTGTTGCTGGTGTTGTTGGTCTCAAAATGCCTCGATATGTAAAGAATTTCTTCTATTAATTTAATGAAACAATATATTCTTTTTTCTTTTTCTTTTTTGATAGTGTCTATTTGGTGATACAGTTAATACAGCATCACGAATGGAATCGACAAGCATGGGTATAGAAAAACATTAGAAATGTTTCGCTTTAAATATGAACATTAATTTTGTTGTTTCTTAGCTTTTCGTATTCATACAAGTGAAACAACAGCTGGATTATTAGAAATAATCGGTGGATTTCAGTTAGAATATCGTGGTATTACAGAAATTAAGGTAAATATTTTTCAAAGAAATTCTATTATTATAAATTTAATTATCACGTTAGGGTCGAGGTAATTATAAAACTTATTGGCTTTGTGGAAAAAATGGTTTTGATAAAGAATTACCAGCACCAGTTATTTCCGAAAATAATCATGGGTATAAAAGAAAATTATTTTGAATAGAACATTAGAAAAAAGATGTTTTTTTTTTTTTTCCGTTCTCTCTCTAGTCTTGATCAAGAACTTGTTCGATTAGTTGAAGAAAGAAGAGCACAAGAACAAGAAGCTGCTAAAAATAAAACAACAAATAATCAAATTGAAGTGAAACCAACTATTGAAACAGTATCCCCAAAAGGATCTATACCACCAGCAAATACAACTTCCGCTTCGATTAAAATGAATAATAATGACAAAACAGATGATTTATTAAGGTAAAGAAATTTTTTTAAATATTTTTAAATAAAATCTTATTATTTTAGATTTACTCCACCACCATCTAATAAAAAATCACTATTTACATCAAATTCAACAACTCAAAACATAACTTCAAATGAACTTCCAGCAAAATTACAACAACAAATGAATGGACCCACTGGACCTATACGAAAGTCAACGAAAGTAAAATGGTGATTATCATAAAATGATACTTTTAATATGTGTTAATCTATTCATTTTCTTTTAATTATTGTTTTTTTTTTGTTTAAATCTTCGAATATGTATATATATATATGTAGAGCAGTATTTGTACATTTCGACCAATCGGTTTTGAGATTTCTTCATATAGAAGTGTTTCCAAAATAAACATGAACATCTCATATATATCTATATAAATATATTTTTTGAATGATTTAATAAAGCTTTTAATTATTATGTTTCACGATGGATTATGTAGCACTTTGAATAGAGACAATAATTAAGGATATGACAAGCATGTCTCTATTGGCGCGCAAATCATGTCAGCGTCGCAGAGGATGATTAAGTCTCCCGGAAAGCTTTTTAAAGTGATTGCTAATAATGATTTCACAGTAAGGCTGAATCTCCCTTGGCCAAAACCCTGGAACTGCCGCTACCTGCCAGCTAACGTCCGGACGTGGTAGACGATAATTTTTAACAAGATCTTTTCTTTTTCTTCACATACACAGTAATGCAGTACTCGTTAGAAACCTTCAAAGAAAAAAGATCTGGTAAAATGATTAACTCTAGAGGTTTTCATAGGAATATCATTATTGAAGATATGTAATTTGATAGATCATAAAATATCGTATTAAAATTCCGTTTCTATTTTATATAAGATAATGCATCGGTTTTTTATTAGATATAATTTATTGCTGAAATGATAAAGAGATCTCATGTCCCGACATACCATACTACTTACTAGAACCGGCGGTAGCAATAATACGACTTTCGCGTCCAATTATAAATGATTACAGAGAGTGTTTTCTACCCAAATTCGAGTTATTTATTAGAAACAATTCAATTTAACCAACAGGTTCAGAATATATATTTATTACTAATGTCCATTTCAGAGATAAATGGCCATGGGTATTTTTCGAATAACTTTTGATAGGAACGAGATAGAGACCTGCGATTTTCACCGTTGGAAAAAGCAGATGAAAACGCATCGAACCATGTATAGAAAGATTTTTCTAACGACTTTCCTGAAGGTTTTAGTCAAACGTTTCAAAGAATTGCTTTTTTCTCCTCCGGTAAAAAAAGTGATTTTTTGTGTTGAAATCTTACAAAAAACCTCCATTTTTTGCCTATTTTTTTGAAAA